GCAAGGAGATTGAAACCAGGAGCTGAGGTCCTCTGTGTCCAAGGGAGTGAGATCAGCAGAGACAGCTGGCTAAAAGCAGAGGAGAACTGGGCAGCAGTGGAAGAACAGGAGCGCTGGTTTGAACTGTAGTGCGTGAAAACATAGCATCAAATAATACAGCCATATGGTCAGAGAAAGCAGTGTCAGTCACTTCCACGTTAGACACAGGTAGACTGTGCGACAGGTCCAGTGTGTGTCCGTGTTCATGATCAGGACGGGCTGGACCAGATTAAAAGAGTCAACTTAAAAACTCCTTCACCAGAGGTTTGTCAGGGCAGCAGACATGGATATTAAAATCTCCCACAATAAGAACGTGATCGTAATTGGGCAGAATCCCAGCTAGAAATTCTGAAAAGTCATTTATGAAATTCTTATTGTATTTAGGGGGGCGATAAATAACAGCAAAGAGCACAGAGTTAGAGCGATTAACTTCAAAACACGTGAGCTCAAAGCTGGAAAAAGAGGGCTGTAAAACACACTATTTACAATTAAAATCCTTTTAAAAACAACCTCCTCCTCTCCCTGATGTCCTTGGTGTGTTAAAATAGGAACAACCCGCTGGTAAAAGTTTGGATAAAATACTGGACTCACCAGAGTTAAGCCAAGTCTCCGTGACACACATGAAGTCCAGGTTCCAGGAGGTGAATGACTCCTTCAGAATAAAAGATTTGTTCAGCAGCGATCTGGCGTTTACCAGCCCGGGGATGAGGTATGTACCGTATGACCCCAACAGAGCACTTCAGTCGGAGAATGCTCTCTTCCCTGTGCTTCCTATGATATTTAAAAGTAGTATGTGAGGCAGAGCCTTTGCTTTCAGGCACCTCTTCCGTGGAAAATAAGAGTGTGAATATCGATATAAGAGTGTTAAAAATGTTCCTGCTGTGGGATTTTATTTTAGCTGTTACTTCTGATGGAATTGCAACATTGGACAGTAAACTGCAACATCTATTTCAATTTGTTTTTTTTTCTTTATTTTATTATTTTACTATAATTGTTAGTGTCACAATATATTTCTATAGCACAATTAAAAGCAACAAAGTTGACCAAAGTAATTTAGTTAGTTAATGAACAAGAGAAAGACATAGGAGAATAAATACAATAAAATAAATCATGAGAAGAAGCAAATGCGATGTTGTGACATCACATCAAAAAAGTTACAGTATTACATTAATTTATTCAAACATTATCTAACAACATTTAAACTACTTATTAAACATTTATCAACCTCTATCACAAAACCAGTAAATAAAAGACGGCCATAGCCAGTGTGACCTCACCCAAAGGTGTCCTGATAGGAAGCCTAGCGCTGAGCGTTTATGCCAGCACCACTTTGGTGTTTGGAACTGGATGTGACAAATGAGGAGAGGATCTGGTTGTAACCCATACTTACTGGCTAACACCTTGTGATTAACAACATGGAGCCAATGGGAGAGTCAGATTTAGCTGTGTGAAGTGTGGTGGCGGCTTACCCAAAGCATAATGCAGTATACAGAGGTGCTTACTGCCAACTGACAAAAGTAACTCACAGTCCAGAAATCCCTAATTTCCCTTGGGATTAATAAAATATTCTGATTCT